CCACGTACCACTGAAACTGAACTTCAAGTTCAGAAAATTATACATTTGCAAAGACTTGCAAATAACCTGCTAGATGCATTTACTAATTATAAAGGTGTGACTAAATCTTTCATTCCTGCTCTGAATGCGCCAGAAAGAGTGGAGGTACCAAATAAAACCACTCAACTTCCACTCACTAAAAAGAGAGGAAGAAGTATGGCCACTCAGCGAGATACAATTGCTAACAAGCAAAGAAAGACAGTAAATGCAAACCAACCTTTAGTTGATACACACCAAATTGATACTATGTATCAAGCAGATCGTGATAATCTGCAACCTATCTCAGTTGTGCACAATGCTGAGACTAGGAATTCGGAAGACCATAGACACATTGTTTCGGGAGATCACGATGAGTCTATAAGGGTTGATGAAATTGCCATCAACTACTCTAAAACTGGAGAATCTTTTGATAGAAGAGCTACAATTGTAGACACTAATTTTTCTGAACAAATTGCTGATTGCCTCCAAGTTGATCAAGAACCTAGGTCTATAAAAGAGTGCCAAAAGCGCTCTGACTGGAACAAATGGAAGGACGCAATTGACGCAGAATTAGCTTCGCTTTACAAAAGAGATGTATTCTTGCCTGTAATGCCTACTTGTCGTGGTTTCTTTCCTGTGGGATACAAATGGGTTTTCGTCCGGAAACGGAATGAAAACAATGAGGTGGTGAGATATAAAGCTAGGCTTGTAGCACAAGGTTTTACACAAAAATCTGGCGATGATTTCAATGAAACTTACTCTCCAGTTATGAGTGGTATAACTTTCCGATATTTAATATCATTGGCAGTACAAAATCGTATAGTTATGCAGTTGATGGACGTAGTGACAACATATCTTTATGGGTCACTTGATTCTGATATTTACATGAAGGTTCTTGACGGAATCGACATCCCGAATCAGAAGGTAAATCATAACATGTATTGTGTTAAGTTGCAGAAGTCACTTTATGGCTTAAAACAATCGGACAGGATGTGGTACAACCGATTAAGTGAAATACTTTCACTAAAAGGATACACTAAAAATGATGATTTTCCGTGCGTCTTTATCAAAAAGTCCCCAACAGGATTTTGTTTTATCTCGGTATATGTCGATGATCTTAACATCATTCGCAATACACAAGATATTAATGAAGCATGTCATCATTTAAAGACGGAATTTGAGATGAAGGATTTGGGTCAAACCAAATTTTGCTTAGGTCTACAACTTGATCATTTACCTTCTAGAATCCTTGTGCACCAAAGTGCATATACCCAGAAAATTTTGGAGAAATTCAATATGGACAAGTCATATCCTTCCAAAACCCCTATGGTGGTTCGATCTCTAGACGTGGAGAAAGATCCATTTAGACCAAAGGAATATGGTGAGGATGTGCTTGGACCTGATTTTCCATATCTTAGTGCTATTGGCGCACTTATGTATCTTGCAAATAGTACGAGGCCAGATATTGCTTTCTCGGTAAATCTATTAGCAAGATACAGCGCTGCTCCTACCAAACGCCACTGGACTGAAGTTAAGAATGTCTTTCGATATCTTAATGGCACAAGAGATCTTGGACTTTTCTTTAAAAAGAACCAGGATTCGACTTTAATTGGGTATACTGATGCTCGCTATCTATCTGATCCCCACAATGCCAGATCATAAACAGGATTCGTATTTTTGCAAGGTGGAACTGTTATTTTATGGAAGTCTTCTAAACAGACTCTGGTAGCCACTTCCACAAATCATTCTGAAATAATTGCATTATATGAGGCATCACGTGAATGTATATAGCTTCGCAGAATGATTAACCACATATTAACATCTTGTGGTATTGGTTCATTAGAATCACCTACCATTATCTATGAAGATAATGCCCCGCTTGTGTTGTTCAGATGGAAACTGGTTATATTAAGAGCAACATCACTAAGCATATTGCTCCTAAATTATTTTATCCTCATGAGCTTCAGCAACATGGAGACATAAACATCTTGCAGGAATCAGGGGAGTACCTCCCTCTAGAAAATAACCTATTTTCGTCATATTATACTCTTTTTCCTTTGTATGAGTTTTACCCTTTAGGTTTTCACATCCAAAGTTTTTAACGAGGTAATATCAACATAAGTTATATGTCTTATCATTTTGCTTTTCCCCACTGAGGTTTTTATTAAATGATAACTGTAGACATTATACTATTTTTGGATCGTACTATGAGCTTTACTCATAAAGATCTTAAAAATAGTCAATTATATATCACGGTTCTCTCCTTATTTTTCCCACTGGGTTTTCGAAGCGTTTTACATGATGTATTTAATATACTAACTATAATTATTTCTAAGATTATCTTTACAGATATCTGGAATACTAAATGAGCAATGATCAAAGCTGGATTCGATCAAGGGGGAGTATTATGAAATATTTGGGTGATCTCATCCTTCTATTACGAAATATTCGTGGCCCCCATCTTCTCGCCCTCACGACGATTCTAGCAACGGATGTGATGGTTCCCAAACCATCGCATCTTCGGTTGCCGCTGTTAGTGATATGCCCTAGAGGCAATCATAGAGATGATTGTATCACATACTATGTTTACATATTTATGCGACATTGTTCCTTCAAATAGATAACTCATTATTGGTTAATGAATATGTGATTTTTTCATGAGACTCTTTATGTTATGTGTTGCTATTTCTAAAGGATCCCTGATCAAATATCATATGTGGAACAAATATGTTTAGATGATCAGCACATGTATTAATTGATGATCATGTCTCATGGATCATGGTATAGAGATACCAAATTAATAATGTGGACACATGTTGGTGAACATGTTGTTGGATAGACCCAACATGAGACACTGCAAGAGCCATCTGTGTTGTGTCATCAGTGATCTCATTTAGTGTTGGTGTTGAATCCTTAGACCTGAGATTATCATGGTTCTCAACATGTGTAGTTGCTTACTTAGGGACTGCTAAACGCTACTCCGTAATTGGGTAGTTATAAAAGTAGTTTTCGGGTATGCTATGAAACATGTAGTGGGATATAAATAATCAAGACGGGATTTGCCCCTCCTATGGAGAGATATCTCTGGGCCCCTCGATGTTGTAGATTATGGATGTGCATGGCCATGCCAAAGGTGATTGAGGAGTCAATCACAAGCTATATAATCTATTAACAGGTTCGAGTGAATGATTGAGCTATTAGAGGATGGCACATATCTAGCCTTGAGCTTAATCGATATCGTGAGGCAAAGGGGTTCATACAAGTATACACTAGAGGTTCAGCCGATATGATCTTTATGTATGATCGGTGGGTCAATACGTTCTGCTAGAGGCCACTGTTGACGCGTGGACCGAAAAGGAGTTTTCGGGTTATAGCCGAGTATACATGAACCTACAGGGTCGCACGCTTAATGGGCCGGAATAAGGGGATTGGATGGAGATCCAATATAAGCTTAATTCGGATAGGGATCCGAATAGGAGTTCTACGGGCCTTGGAGGCCCGAGTGATGGATCATATATATTCGTGAGTGGAGTGACCGACGGAGATATTGCATCACGTGAGAAACCCTAGCCGTCACTTCCCTCCCCGAGCAAAACCCTAGCTGCGTGCGGGTGCTAGCACATCTGGGCGTGGCGTTCCGTCCCTATACGTGTGGATACCGGTAGAGGCGCCGCTGGTTTGCGGTGCTGATCAGCGTGGGAGTATGGCGAGGAGAACGCACGAGGAGGAGAAGGTCGAGCCGGTGCGATCGATTACTTCCTCTACATCGACGCGCGCTACTTCGCGAGAGTTCCTTCGACTTCTCAGCATCTTCTTCCGCTGCGCAGCGCGTCGAGTGATAACGATCTATGATCTAATACTTGCATGATTCCTGGTTTACGCGATATAAAATTTTGATTTATGCTATCGTAGCCTACGCGTATCCCAACAGCCGCCTCTCTCTCCCCTACATATTGTAACACCGTGATCAATAAAGGAATCCGCTCATTCATTCCCTCCACATTCTCTCTCGCTCAATCTCTCTCGCTACAATCAATTATATTCACTTTAACAAATAGACCAATAACTGCAATCTTGTGGCAATTGTTTATTCATCAAACATGTATATCATAACTCATACATTATATAGTTGGTGTGTTTGACTTTATTTTTTCCAAAAAAAAAACTAATTATCAACAGAAACTAATAGTAACGATGGCAGAAAAAACAAAAATTAACTACCGTAAAAAAAGCTTTGGTCGTCGGTCACGCTTTAGCTACCAATTTTTTCTACTGAAACCTTGACCAAATACGTGTAATGACCGATATTTTTTTTACTGGTCGTTAATATTTCTTGTTCTAGTAGTGAAAATTCTAGAAATTACGACCCAAACGAAGAGAAAGATAAAATCATAACTATCCAATTTATTTTAACTAGTATGTACTTTTAATAAGATCAATCTCATTAATATGAGTTGTCTACAATATAAATTGAACAAACAACAAAAATAATTGAACCATCTTGAATACAATGAGGTAAGTAAAATCTGGAGTTGATCACGAAAGCTACATGATTTGGTCAAACCTATTCAATGTTCCACCTTTGTTAAGGTCAATAATGTGATAGTTTTATATTGGAATAAGTTAAGCTACATGTTACGCTTATGACAATTAATATTGAACTATTTTTCGATACAGATATATACATACTATTTTTATGTTTCTAAACTAGTATTTTATATAAGTCATTAATTGTGAAAGGTTTAAATGTTAACTAGATCCTGTCTAAAATGTCCTTTATTCATGACCAGTATACATATACATACTAACTGGGATGTTTGGAATTGTATATGCATGATAAAATATGTAGAGAAAAGTATTAAATTCTTTGTATACCTACAGTGTAAAACTTACAAAAGATATATCACCAGGACATTTTGCCCTGCTGATCGATAAACTTGTACATAATTATTATATATATAATTTAGGGATAATTGAATTACCTTTGTCACGAGAGCAGCCCTGCGAAATATAGGGATTTCCTGCAAAGCCAGAATCGCAGCTGCACAGATATCCAAAGTATGTTGAACTTGAATTCAAGCATGAGCTATTCGTACTGACACAGGCATAGCTCGTCTGTTTATCAAGGGCGCTGCTGCAACTTGGTTGATCAACAATACTCCAACCGAGGTCGGCAGAGTATAAACTTAATTGGATGCTATTCCACAAGGAATTGTTGCTAGAGTGAGATTCCGTTTTGTTGTGCCGGACGAATTGGAGGTCAAAGAAACTTGTACTGAATGAAAAGTAACAACATCCAGTACCGTTGCAGTTCTTCTTGGCCTCGCCTTCTGTAAATATTTCGTTGGGACATGTAATGTTGCATAGGAGCATGGATTCGTTGTACTGGATAAAGTATACATCGAAGTCGCAACCGGTGATTTGCACCGTGGCATATAATGGAAAAAAGCTTTCAGGATAGGTCCAGGTATAGTTGTAAACATCGACGCCGGGCACCACAGAGATGGTGTCGGACATGCTGACGCTAACACTAGGGACGTTGTTGTCGTCCGAAGAGCTGACAACGATGTCGTCGACAACCTGGGTGCCGCCCTGTAAAAAGAGACTCGGTGGCTGGAGGTGATTGCCGTGGAGGCAAGTGAGCTCAAAATTGGGTTGGCGGAAGCAGCCTTGCCCGATGCCAAAGGGATACTCAAATGTCAAATTGCCACAACTGGTGTTGCAGCCAGCGAGCGTCGGCGCCGTTGGAGCACCACCGGTTGGCATTGGAAGCAGCACCAGTACAAGCAGAGAGTATGCTGCAGGTAATAATAAAATCATCTTCGTCTCACCTTCGAGAGATTCACCTACCTACTAATGACTGAGGTCTGAGGATCTGGAAATTTGATCTTGGCGTTTGAACTAGTGACCCGGGGACTGCATGTCTCATATATAGAAGGCTGCGAAAGAGTTTGTGTGTTTCCTGGCAATTTCCTGACCCATTTAGGTTAACTCTAGGTCCAGCTCTATGTCTTCTATAGCTGGAGCCAACCAAACGGTTTCAGCTTCACCTAAAAACGAGATGGAGTTGGCTAGAATGTTCTCACAAAATGAACTACAGAAATGAACAGCTTCATAACTCAACTTGAGACTCAACTCCAATCCAAAACTAACTCATGAAGTTTAAGTTTAGGAGTTGGAGCTTTAGCAAAAGAGCCCATCTATTGGTTGGCAATATACATGGAGGGGACCCAACTGTCGTTGCGTGTTGCAATCGTAATAACTAGGTGAAACCCCGCGCGTTGTTGTGCGAGTTTAATATGATAATACTAAATAAAAATAATGTGTAACATAGCTAGATAATATAAACTTACGTAAGTTGATGTGGTTATGATAATTTAAATTTAAATAGTATATAGAATATAGAATGATGATCAAAATGTAGAAGTAAGTTGATGTGGCTTTATGAGGGAAGAAAATAAGATAGTTTGGATCATCTATTTGTATAGCCACTCCATAAGAATGGCAATTCCATGATCATGAACTCTAATATCCCTCCACTAATAAAGAGAATTCTATGGGACTTAGAGGTTCCACTAAAGATCAAGATCTTTATGTGGTTTCTTCCCAAGAATATAATTCTAATAAAAGATAACCTGGCTAAAATAATATGGTTGGGGGATGGGGGGGGGGGGAGAAAAACACTATTCTTTCTGCTATGCACAAGCAATCCACATCTTTTCTTTGAGTATCATGTTTCTCAATTTGTTTAGAGATGTGTGTTTTTTTGCTTTCAATATCCCTTCACCCCGTAACGCCAAAAATACTTTTGCTAATTGGCTTAGAGGTGTATCTAGGTCCATTAAAAAGATGATTCTAATTGAAGCTAATGTTGTATGTTGGTCAATTTGGCATTGTCATAATGATAAAGTTTTTAATGGTGAACAATTATCTAACCCTATGCAAGTTATCTTCATGTCGTAATATTGGCTTCACTTTTGGTCTACGATGCTACCACTAGAGAAGCAGGATACTATGCGCAATGGAGCTACACTCATAGAATCGGTAGTCAAGGGTCTCTTATTCCACTATGTGTGGCATAGTTTCATTAGAACTACTAGCTTAAAAAATCTATGTGGTTTAATGCTAGTCAATAATAAAGGAGAGTTGGAGATTTGTCGCATCACCTTTTTCCCATTTTAATTTATTTTTATCTTTAACTTTTTTTAACAAACTTGTGGCTATGTGTTTTATGACAGAAACCGCGTATGTGTTTTATGATAGAAACCGGAGATGTAATCCATTTCTATTATCTAAAAATAAATTAATCATCTAATGACTAAGAATAATTAAAGTGATATGACTTGATAAGAGAAGAAAAAAAGAGAGATAATTGATGTGATATGGCTTAATGCGAGAAGAGAGATCACATTTTAACTAAGTTAGGAGTTATGATGACCTATATAGGTATATAAGATTTTTAGAAAATGATGAAGAGATATAATAAATATTATGTGAATGATGTGAGATGATGATTTAACATTCTTATATTTGAAAAGCTATAAAATTTAATAAATTATAAAATTATACTATCTCCGTTTCAGGTTATAAGACTTTCTAGCATTACCCATATTCATATAGATGTTAATGAATCTAGACACATATATATGTCTAAATTCATTAACATATATATATATATATATATATATGTAGACAATGCTAGAAAGTCTTATAATATGAAACGGAGGAAGTAGATAATATAACATGCATCATTATGTTTAAATGTAGTAATTGATAGTAGATGATGATGTGCCATATTTACATGTTATGTTTTAGGATTTAGTGAGCTCTAACATGTAAGAAAGGATACGCCGGTTAAGCTGTCTATTCGTCTCTCTTGACTTGGAATTACGGGGCATCTTTTCCTTGGCGTGTTACCGTGCTTAATTTCCATGGACGTCGGAATCACGTTGTGGATACCTAATAAAGTTGTACCCTAAAGCTGTGAAAAGACCGAACGAAAAGGAAATGGACGGTTACATATACAAGTTGCTCGTAATTGAATCCTGGATTTATATGGATTGATTGATTCTTGTACGATACGTTGAACATTGTTACCAAGAAGGCGATGCTGTGAATTGGATCGTTGACGCCATGGTGAGCTGTGTGCTTAACTATCTCGATATGGTGCAGTCGTATGTCTCGGTGCTTCAGCTTCGTGAGGCTTCTGTTGTTGCAAGGCTGGAAGTATCACCAAGGCAACTCCTGACTTGACTTTATTGTTTGGGGCTTTGGTCTTTCAGTAGAGGTATGGATCCAGCGGTTTATATAGCTTGCTGCCCGTATCTGACGGTGATTAGTTTGTGACTTACGTGGCTCAATCATGATTCGAGAAAGATAATTTCTTTCACTACTGACCAAAATTTGTTCAAAACTTCGGATCGATATTTCCGAAGTATATCGGTGACCTCTAATAGAATCGGACTCGGCCAAACCAAAAAATTAAACCTTGCTTTAGATAAGGAATGCCTTTATACATGGTTGGGACCCCATTACCCGGACGACAAAAATCAAATTAGTTCCGGTTCCTCTTTAGTCTCTGTTTAAATGCCCAACAACACTTTATAATCTTTAATATTTGTTGGTAACACCAAATCGCAACTAAAGATCATTTTTAGTCCTGGTTAAAAAGTGTTAGGCCCTGCACTACGTTTAATCCTGGTTGGTGTTACCAACTATGACTAAAGATCGACGTGCCGTATATACTTCCTCGCACATATTCTCTCGTCCTCCTCGCAAACTCCGTCCTCACCTTTATCTCCTCCTCCCTCTTCTCCTCTCTCCTCTCTCTATCTCACTGGTGGAGAAACCATCTTTGGTCGGTCTGGCAAATTCCACAATAGTCCCGGTTCCAAAAAGAACCGAAACTAAAGATTGTTTTTAATATCGTTTATAAAAATTTTGATCTAAGATGATCTTTAGTCCCGGTTCGTGGCCTATCAGAGGCATGTCAGGAGGCCGAGGATCTTTAGTAATGATCTTTACTCCCGGTTGGTATTACCAACCGAGACTCGGTTAAAAACTCCAACCGGGAGTAAATATTTCTCTCCCAAATCTAATCGGTTAACTCCCAGACCAACTTCCTCCTCATATTCTCCTCCTATCTCTCAGATCAGATCTAGCTCCTTCCTCTCCTCTCCTCCCCCTCCTCCCCTTCCTCCTCCTCCTCCCCTCTCCTCACATCTGAGGGCCAGCGTCGGCGGGCGGCAGGGCCGCGACCAGCGCGGAGGAGGGCGGCGGGGCCACGAGCGACCTGCGCGGCGGTGGGCGGCGGGGCCGAGCGCGACGCGGCGGCGCGCGTCCGCGGCGGCCGGCAGGACAGCGCGCGGCGACCGTGGCATGCAGCGGCAGGCGTGCGGCAGCGCGCCGGTTCTCCCCCTTTTTTTATTTGTGAGAGATGTATAATTTCTTCTATTACAATTTGTGATTCATTGCATAGATCTGAGATGTATAATCGATCTGTGATGCATTTCATTTGTGTGTAATTTGTGTAAGATTTAGGATTTGTATTTGCGATGTTACATTGATTTGGGGATTTAGGTATATGCATGGCACTCAGATTTGGGGATTTGGGGATTTATTGTGTGATTTGGGTATATACATCCAACTTGATTTGAGAGAAAATAAAAAGAAAATGGACTGCCCGAGGATTGCCTTATCGATCTTTAGTCCCGGTTGGTAGCATTTACTCCCGGTTATTTCACCCGGAACTAAAGATAGCGATCTTTAGTCCCGAATTAGTAGTCCCGGTTCCCGGTTTGAACCAAGACTACAGGTAAGTTACGAACCGGGACTAGAAAGCAACTCTCCACCACTGTCTCTTCCCTCTCGCTGCCGGCGCGTACATGCAGCAGCAACAGCAGTGAACCAAACCCCTACATACATACATTCATCCATCTTGTCGGCGAGCGGTGCACGAGGTGGTGGTGGGAGGGGAGGCGGCACATGAGGGAGAGGTGGCGGCCTGCAGGCAGCATCATTTTTTTTTTCAGAACTTTGTGATATTTAGTATGAATTTAATCTGTGATATCAATTTGATGTGGACATATGAGAATCTCAATTTGATTTGGGGATGTCGGGAGCAACTCAATTTAGGAAATCAATATTCAAGCAGCAAAAAATAATGAAAAAAAGGAAAAAAATTGATTTGGGTGTTGTTTGCAACCCGGGAGAAAAGAGGTTGCAAACTGGGATTAAAGATGGGTTCCCCAGCAGTGTACACTTATGATGTGTTGTAGACGGGTAACTCCATCCACGAGTTTCACAATCAATTACGTCATCCGTTTCAGGTTATACGATGTTTTGACTTTAATCAAAGTCAAACTGCTTTAAATTTGACTAAGTTTATAGACAATTATAGTAATAATTACATTACAAAATTAGTTTTATTAAATTAATAATTAAATATATTTATATAATAGATTTATCTTCGGTCGAAAATATTACTATTTTTCTCTATAAACTTAGTCAAACTTGAAACAGTTTGACTCAGAACATCTTACAACCTAAAACGGAGAGAGTACTACAAATATGACTGCATATACATGTTGATTGGTACAAACTCTACAAATAACAGTTCCATATATAAACGAAGAATGATTAAAAGGGGAAATGTTGCTGTAAGTAGGTCAATCTCATCCCATATAAGTAGGCTTCTTTTATCATTAGTTTATCAGGGGATTGCTAGTTGGCACACGCGCACCGCCAGCGCGCCCGCCAGCTGCTCCCGGGCCTCCCGGCCCATCAGCCCATTTTTTCTTTTTTTTTGTGATTTGTTTTTTCCTTTTTCTTTTACGATTTTTTTTGGTTTTTTTTCGTTTTTTCTGATTACTTTTTTAATCTTTAGCACTTATTTTTTTCAAAATGTTTTGAGTTGAAAGTTTTTAAATCTTAACTTGAAAATTTTTAAATCTGATTTGAAAGTATTCAAATCTCGAGTTGAAAGTTTTCGAATGTGAGTTGAAAGTTTTCGAATGTGAGTTGAAAGTTTTCAAATCTCGAGTCGAAAGTTTTTGAATCGGAGCCAAAAGTTTTCAAATCTCAAGTTGAAAGTTTTTAAATCCGAGTCGAAAGTTTTCATATTTTTTTCAAATTTCAACTTAAAAATTTTCAAATCTGTACTTGAAAGTTTTCAAATCTCGAGTTGAAAGTTTTCAAATCTGAGTTAAAAGTTTTTAAATATGAGTTGAAAGTTT